TGGCTTTACATGTCTAAATCCTGTTCATGCCAGCCATTAAAATATGACTTTTTAATGCTCTTCGAGTGGAAATCATGGAGGTCTAAATTCCCAGTCCTCATTTAAAACATATTCAAGAGTTTATCTGAAGCTAATATGAGACTTCAATAGCCTGTAAAGTGTCTGTCTCTCAAAGCTGGTGTGAAATTTCCTTTTTGTGTTTCTCTGCTGTGGTGTAGTAACAGAAGCACCTTTAAAAAAAAAACATATTCAAATAACTAAGTAGTGGCTCCTCATAGTAGCAGCACTAAAGAGTTAAAGCAAAATTGTCCTCCAGGAGAAGCTGATGGCAGACAACAGCTGTACGCCTGCTTGATCTACACGCCAGTGTTCAGGTGTTTAAATTTAAGGCGCTCGCTTTGATGTGATCTTTGCTGCTGTCGCTAAACACACTCGCAGTCGGGCAAAATTCTTGGCAGTATTTAAACGAGCCTTCTGCACGCAGCCTTGGCCTATTTTTGTAAATATATTCTGTATCTTGCCAGGTTCAAGAGCTGTTTTTTTTTTTTTTTTTCGTTAAAGGCAGTTTTTTCATTTTTTTTTTCTTTTCCCACCCCTTGCCTTTTTTTTTTTTTTACTGGTATCCATTGTTTTTTGGGTGTATTTTGAGTTTTGTACCAACCTGCTGAGTTTGAATTCTGTTAAATTCAGTCAAATCATAACCAAAGTCATCTTGGGTCACTTTAGCTGTAAGGTCAAGATCTTACAATATTTCAGAGAAAAATCCAACAGCAACAACTCCCAGAATCAGAATCAGAAAAAAGATAAGCATAAAAGATGGTATGCACGCAGATTTGCATAGATAATTAATCACAATTAACATCATGCCAGCTTTAAAGTGCTCTTTTCAAATTAATCTGCACTTGCATCTTTATTAACATGCACCAGGGGCATAGCTCATGACAACAAGCTGCTAACACACTGAGGAGTGCTGGAAAATGCTCTGAAAAATGAGTTTTAATCTATACAAAAGGTATAATAAATGGATTAAAGCACGCCGGCTGGTATGGTGTTGCTAAACATGGCTCACATGCCAATGCTGGGAGTTAACAAGGCCTGCAGTGTTCACCTATAGAAAACAAAAACGTGATACACAACAAGCGGCCTTCATGGGCTCTATAAGTAAGAGTGCAAAGGTTTATAGTTCATGGACATAATCTCCTTATCTTCTCGTTTAATGTGATTCTCACTGCTCCACCGTGCAGCTGAGAAGTGGAACCAAAACTTTATCCTCGTCTCACATCCCTTCACTGAACTAAATTAAAATTTATCTCGCCGTAACTAACCTCTGAGCAACTGCTGTCTTTTTGTCAAAGACGTGTGGGAGTTTAAAAGGTTCAGATATTGGTGATTTTTCAAACAGCAAGCCCTTCTTTTTCATTTTGACAATTGTGTATTACTGCAAAATATGCAAAATTACTCAGCTCTGCTCATTTTTCTGGCTGGCGTGACTCTGAGGCCGGACTTCATTAGCACAGCTTCCTTGTTTCCCGTCATGAATAAACTTTATTATGATCAAGCTTTAATTAATCATCACTTTGCTTGCAAGCTGCACTGCTGGTGCAAGAAGAAGTATGAAGCTCGGAAGTAATGGAAATTAATGGGGAAAAATCACCAGCCCATTATAAGCATTTATCTTTGGAGGAAAATGTGAGCTCTGAGCACCGACACCTTCTGTTTTCTTCTCTCTGTTTATGCTGCTCACATACATGCAGTTACACAGAGGTGCAGTTAATTAATTCTGTGTGACAATGATGTGCAGTTACAGTGCAGGAATATCCTGTGGTATGTTCTATATGGGCTTCACATGTACAGTAAGCTGTGAACTTTGAAAAGTCCCCGTCACAAACCCTTACACTTAAAGAGTCTTTAACCCACTCTAATTCCACGTGTCACGTTATTTTCCTCAGCGGTAGTGAAAATGCATTCACAGCTCACAACAAAAGTGGTTTTATGAGGAGCTCAAGTTATTTCCTCTAATCCGGGAGGAGATGGTTTAAATAAACCGAGGATGGAGGCTGAGAGTCACAGAAGGAGGGAACACCAGCTTGGCTGTCTGCATCGTAGCTAGACCGTAGAACACACACCTCCACAGCTACCAGGAGTGTGGAACTCTGATTTATTTACACTAAAAGACCACTAGTAGAAAAAGGCAATATGATTTTCCTGATGGATCTCCAGATGATGCTGCTGGATGTGATTTACTTCATCCTGCGCAACTCTGTGCGGGTCGTAATGCGCCCACGCACCAAGCCCATCGACGGGGAGCTGGTGCTGATCACCGGGTCGGGCGGTGGCCTGGGTCGTCTCTTTGCTCAGGAATTCACCAAGCAAGGGGCAGAAGTGGTGCTGTGGGACGTGGACGGCAGCTCCAATGAGCAGACAGCCAAGCTGGTGCGCGAGATGGGGGGCACGGCGCACACCTACACCGTGGACGTGACCAGCCGGGAGGACGTGTACCGCAACGCAGAGCTGGTGCGAAAAGACCTGGGCCGGGACGTCACCATACTGGTGAACAACGCCGGCGTGGTGGCCGGACGACGCATGCTGGAGTGTCCTGATGAGCTGATGGAGAGGACCATGAAGGTCAACTGTCATGCCCTCTTCTGGGTGAGAGCTTTTTATGTGTAAAAGACATTTCACCAGTGTGATGGAGGGATGAAGCTCCACAGATGAGAGGTTAAACATCATAAGATCAGACAGAAAGAACAGCTGCTACAGATGTTCCTTCCCCTGGAGGACAGATACAGTGTAGAGGACAGTGTAGCACAGACTCACATCATACCTCATTAATCTGCTCATCCAGAACAATAGCTGCTTTTCAAAGTTAGTTCTTGTGTCTTCAGAAGTAGCTGTTGTTGTAAATGACAGCCAACTATTGATCAGCGCTCTTGATCATGCGTGCCAATATTATTTAATACCACATCCAAAACAAATCTGTTGTCAAATTGACAAAAAGAGAAAAAGCCCCGTAAAGCCAGCCAGCTCGTCTGTGCGGCTTCGTATTTCTTAAAATATCATCCTGAGACCTTCCTCGGTGGATGAGTCGTGTTTGGCAGCATGTACATCACACAATCGAGACAATGACTCGCTGGCAAACGCTAGTCATGCTTTGGCAGAGAGGCGTCATTTGTGAGTGGCACACTTTTACTGAGCTGGAACCGAAGCTGGTGTATAATCGATTCATGCAGAACACGTTATTGCTGCACACGCTGCGTGGCACATGACATGTAAAATGTGTTGCGTCGTGACCATTATCCCCTTCACACTACGGACTAAGTGACTCCCGCATCAATCCTCTTAATAAGGAGCTGCTTGTGCAACATAAGCCTCAGACCTATTGACCAATATTTAAGTCTTATGAACACTGCACAGTTTGTTGCTTCCCAATAACTTACTGCTTTATATTAACGTGTCCCTGTGTGTGTGCCTCAGACCGTGAAGGCTTTCCTCCCTCAAATGAAGGCCCAGAACCACGGACACATCGTGACCATCGCCAGCGTCCTCGGCCTGTTCAGCACAGCTTGTGTCGAGGTGAAGCAGGGCGACAGGAGCCTCCCTGAAACCAGACGTGACAGCTTTGTCATATCACACTTTGTTCTCTGCCTAAATCATTAAGCAACACATTCAAATGCAAATCACAGATAATGTATATTCAGTTCCTGTAAAGAGAAGCTCTGATGAGTCGTGTGTCATTTGCGGCAGGATTACTGTGCCAGTAAGTTTGCTGCCGTGGGCTTCCACGAGTCTCTGGCTCACGAGCTGCTGGCTGATGAAGTTGAAGGAGTGAAGACCACCCTGGTGTGCCCCTACATCGTGGATACAGGAATGTTTGAAGGCTGCAAGATACGGTAGGTTGACAGAATAATCACACACGACAATTCAATCTCAGGAAACATTAAGTGAAGTGGAAGGTCTGCAGGAACAATAGAAGTAAAACATGTTCCTGAGGTGTTGTGTGTGTGATTTGCAGCAAGGCTAACATACAGTCGTCCTCATGTATTCATAGCCTCCCATTAAAGAAGGACAAGAACAGCTGGCAGTGAAATAAATTGAAACTGACAAAAGTAATAATAAATAAAAACTTCATGAAAATCATGACGTTGCTTTTGAATTGTGGTTCAACAGAAATATTTTTTAAAAACAAGCATGTTGGGACCTGTAAACTAATATAATTATAATAATAATATAATAATATATAACCATCAGGTGTTTCCTGTAACTCTCAGTCAGACTTGTGCACCTGTTGACAGGTATTCTGGCCCACTGCTCATCAGCAAAGTGTTCTAATTTATCAGTATGGTTTGTTTTTTTTTAATTATTCTTTTCAACCAAAATTCAAAAGCAATGTCTTATTTCATTAAATTAAAATTTAACAAATTTTTATTGATTACTTTTTTCAGTTTCTAGTTATTTGATTGTGAATTTTGCCTTTTCTTTAATGGACGGGGATGAATACATTCGAGGACGGCTATAAGTGTGTGGAATAAAGTGGCACGCTGTCATAGGAGTCTGCTGTGAAATGGCCTGTAATAATTCATACTGTAAATGTTCTTTGGTGCCACTGTAAGGGAGGAAGTGGAACTGCTCCTACCCCCTCTGGAGCCTCAGTACTGTGTTGAGCAGGCGATGAACGCCATCCTGATAGACCAGCCTCTGGTGTGCATCCCCCGCCTCACCTACCTGCCCTTCCTCTCCAGAGCGTAAGCCTTCACCTTAACCTCCATGTGTGTGTTTTCACTTCTAAACAGCTGGTGTTCAGTGTTTTACATGTTGTTTTGTTCCCCCAGGTTGTTGCCATGGGAATCCAATGTGGCTGCGTACCGTTTCATGGGCTCTGACAAGTGCATGTACCCCTTCATCGATAGTGTGCAGAAACAAGTGACTAACGGCTCTGTTCAGGTTGCGTAAGCACGCCACGATTCAGTCACGTGGGCGGTCAGAACTGGCGGGAGGGACTTCAGATTTTGAGACTGATCATTCAGAAGCCTGCAGTAGATGACCACTCAGCCAAGTTGTCATCAGCACCCAACGAGACTCCAGCAATGTTCGGATGAAATTTAAAGTCCCTTCAAAGATGTTGTGACATGACCAAACAGTGACTAAATCCTGAGCTGACCAAAATGGGAAAATATCTTTAATATGTGTAACTTAATGATGTGACTGAATGTTGTGCTGTGTGACATTTACATAAAATAAAACGACTGAAAAGCTGAATCTGTCTGACAGCTTTGTCTGCTGCACTGTTTCTGGTAAACTGCATAAGAGCGAAATGCAAATGATGCAGAAGGTTAATGTCATAAAACTAACTGTGCATGACCAGGACTCGTTCTAAATTGGATCAAAGTGGTATAGAAACCTTCAACGCTTCAAAAAAAAAAAAAAGATTCTGAGTTTCTCTCCTAAAAAGGACTTTGAGTGGTAAATTCTGGAACAACTGCACTTCCCTCTACCTTGAGGATTGCGCCTGTGTCAGTGCACAAAAAGGCTCAAAAGTTTTGCTAATCTCACAAGACAAGCAGTGACGTAGCAAAACGCAATCACTGCCCAAACGTATTTTCATGCCAGGGAGCAGAGTATGAGTAATGATGAAGCCTTTCCTGCAGCGCAATCCGGTCCCAGAATGAGATGTTTGTGCACTCAAGGAAGAAGGAGAACAGCAAACTTTTGCACAAGATTTATTTTTTACTTTCTGTCAAAAGCAAATACCTCACTGGTTATGACAAAATGTTTAATGACAAATTTATTTGTTGTCAACATTTAAAAATGAAAATATTATGACCTAGGATTAGGAAACCAGACCCACCATTAGAACTCCTAAAATGTGAAAATATTATCCTCACACCCTGAATGGGACTCTAGAACCGCCCAGTGTTTGAGCGACACACTGTTTTATTCCTACTGCAGCCTCAATGATTAAATATTACTGAAAGTCAGCCGCAGAAGAAAATCTCTGAAACTGAACAGATCTGCAAACATCAGAAAATAAAGGCCCTTAGCTGGCTATAAAATAAAGAGTTTCCCAGTTATATTGATGAGATCTGCCACAGAGGGGCAACAAAGTACTGACTTTTGCACATGCCATAGTTTTTAGCATGTTGTTTTTAAAGTTTGTGCACGAACATTTCAAGAAGTGCCCATTAGTGAGGGGCTGTATCATCACTGTGACACTCAGGGCTACATCACAAGTGTTTACATGTTTGTGTGGGGCAAAAGTTTGCTTTCAGTATCTGGTGTTGCCTCTTTCAACCATCTCTGACGACTAGTCAACCAGGCCGACACGTCATTTCTGTTTGATTAAAGTCAGAATTTGGTCTTGGCCACTCAAAATCTTTCATCTCCTTTCACCATTATTGTTTAGCTGCATGACTCACTCTCTCCACAGGTTCAGTTCACAGACAGAAGTCCAAACATTTTCCTTTAGAGTTGGATGGTGTAATTCATTGTTCCATCAATGATTGCAAGCCGTGCTGGCGTAGACGTAGCAAACAAAAGCATGATGCTGCCACCACCGTGCTTCACAGATGGGATCAGGTTCTTATGTTGGAAAGCAGTGTTTTTCTTTCTCCTGGCATAACGCTCATCATTTAAATTCTAGTTTGTTCTCATCCATCCAGGCTCCTGGCTTGTCCAGCTGAACGTTCAATTCAATTCAAGAAACTGTATTCGTCCCCTGGGGGCAATTTAAGAAGCAGAGCGGCTGGATCAAAGCATAAATCATTTACGGTGCAGGTGCATGTCTGTGATGTATAGAATAAGCAATGTCTCAACCACTAGTGAAGATACTCTTCCACAGACACGACTTTAATGTTCTTGAAATAAAACAATTCACCCGCTCACACCTGACTGTCATTCCACTGACACCCGACTCGTTTCATTTCACCTTCAAATTAACTGTTAATTAAAAGGTTCTCATACTTTTGCCACTTAGAGAAAGGTGATACTGGGTAATTTTCCTCAAATAAATGGCCAAATACAACTCCTGTTATCTCCTTTCTCAAGGGTTTGCACGACTTTAACGTTCACCAGCGGCGGATGAAGAAGAAGACACACGAGCAGAAGTGTGTGTGTTTTGTGCATTTAAGCACATTAAGTTTATTTATCATGGGGAGTGGAGAGAGAGGGGAGGCCGGCGTAAGGGAGGAAAAGAGGGATTATGAGGGAAACTGATGCAACAGGGAAACGTCCCCGCCACACACAGCAGAGACAACATCACATTACGTCACACGCTACATTTAGTCACAACTTTTCTTCCCAGCCCTACATGGTAATGTCGATAACACTTCACTTGTGGTTGTTGATAGAAAGCACTCTAGGAAAATCAACAGAGGTTCGCCAGCTGCACCCTAGACAAAGATGAAACCTTAGCATGTGATCCTCCGTAATGAGCTACCTCGGCGGGGCTTTGAAACATAAAACACTTAAAAACAAGAGTTAGCAGGTCTCACAAACAGTAAGCAAGTTATAAACAAAACAGACTTCACAGTTAGTTGCTTCATTTTATTTTTTTTTCTTCCCAAGTTAAGCCCCGACTCGTTGACTAGGATGCAGCTACTTGTTTCTACGAAGCAACAGAAAAATAAATAATGCGTACAATTAAACAACATCAAGGAGAAAGAAGAGTCTAGTTTTTCCTATCAATCTTGTTTAACTGTGAACATTTTGTAACAATGGACGTGGTAGTTTAGAGCCTTACAGAGCCTCCTGCAGACGTCTAAATCTGACTAAGAACACAGTGTCGGAGTTTTCTTTAGTGCTTTTACAGACAACCAAACCTGATAATCTAAACAGTGCCATCCAGGGTCTGTGCCAATGTGCTTGAGTTAGCCTGTTTGTGGTGCAAGTCGCCTTCGATTTCCTGTTTGCCGCACCTGTGGAGGAGAAGTCGGATTTAGTGTCGCTGTCAAGACAATCAAAAAGTCTGCACGTTTGATCACACTGGACGTCTTCGAGTGAATCGGCAGAATCATGTGTGAGCATTGACGAGTGCATGTGCTGATGTAAGTGTCCTGATAAAGATATATTGATCGCCATAGGAGGAACAAGACAGTGGCCCACAAAGAATACAATACATAAAAGCATAAAAGTATGTATATAAAGAAAAAAATATATGTACAAATGAAGTTCAAGTGGCAATCTAAAGTGACCTAGTGTGTGTCATTGTTATTGTGTGCTGTTGAGTGTGAGGACAGTTCTCTGCTGTTGTACAGTCTGACAAAGGAGCACCTAAAGATAACATAAAATGCCCGGTTTAAATAATTATAAACACAGATTTTTGAAGGGATAAAAGTGCTTTGAATGCTTGGAACGATACCTTGTGTGATGATGATAGTGCACAAGGTTGTATGACACTCATCATGTATATATCAACATGTGAGGAAGTGTAAAAGCTCACTTGGTTTATTTCCTGTTTTCTTGTATATATCATTCTGTTGAATAGCTGTGGCTTTCCTGCAGCTAATGGGGATCGTAATAAACTAAACCTTTCAGTATTCAAGCAGTCTCGCTATATAAATACCGGCTTTACTCAAGAAACTGTGACTCTTTTAATTTGCCAAAAAAGGATCAAAATAGACGCAGCAGCAGAACCAGAGATGCTGGCTGTGTTCCAATATACATACTACTAACCGTACAGTACGCCAGAAAAAGATTGAGCATGTCCCAATATAAAGTATGTGAAATGTAGTGTGCCGAAAATACCCTGATGTCCTCCTCCATCCAGTCAGACGACCGTGATGGGCGTGCTTGTTTATCAAATGGTCAAAATTAACAGAACGACGCATAGATTTCTTAACTCGAAATTTCCATTATCTTAAGACGTGCCGATTCAAGTCAAACTGGTCAAACTCCTTTCTCAATTTAAGAGAGCAAGCAAAAGAATAAAAACGACGTTGGTGTGAGACACTTGATTCTTATTGAGCTGTATTTCTATTCTGAGCACTTTGATTATGAGGGCAGTGGAAGGTTTCCTGTACTATAAATAAGCAGAAAGTCAGTGTTTGTAACGGCGTACCCGGAGACTGGTCCATTTCCTGTTCTTTCATTTGACTGCTGGTCCAACTCTGAGAGCATCTTCAATATATTCAGTGCAGCCTGTGGAGATGTAGACAAGTACATATTATTCAATGATGTGTTTCAAGAGGCAACTACAACTCACTTGAGTTGTAACCTGTAAAGTAAGAGGTCTATTGTCTTTGTAGCAGCAACAAAAAAAAAAAGAAGAGTGGGTGTCCATGAAGCATCCAGACTGTACAGCTCCCACTTTGGGAACAGCTGGGCTCGAGTCTTTGTGATGTGTCATCGCACCAATAACAGCTACCGAGCTCCCTTTGGTCCTCCTTTTATGACTCTGCACAAGATTTATTAGAAATCCACTTAATGGTATGTTAGGAAATATGCCTGTATTTCTGAAAAACAAAATTCTTCTGCAAAGCTTGTTTGTCTGCAGCATCTCATGAGGATTGCACACTGAGGAGGAGAACAGCATGACCTTTAAAGGGTTCCCTACCAGCCTACGTTCACATTTATTTGACACTTGTTATAAACATGTTTTTGCGATTGGTTATCATTTATCAAGGACTGAATGTTCACTCCGAAACGTTCCAAAACACCCCCATGTTTAAAATTCGCTATTTTTTTGCCAGAAATATTGTGTGTTCTCCAACAACTAATGTATTTCCTCTAAATGTAAGATTTGAAACATGAAGTGCAGATATGTGGCTCTCAGCGCCGAACAGCGAGGACGCACTTGTCAGTTTATAAAGTACTCACCATATCATGACAGGACTCTACATCTTTGCCGATCCCGTGACTGATGAGCGGCGGCTGGGCCGAGCAGTTAATCAGTGACACAAACTCATTCTTATTGTTTTTGGGGAAGTCTTTGTATTCCACCTGCAAGCCAATAATGTACTTTCATTATTTTTTTAAATCACTTTTAGGTATAATTTAAATGCATGCACACTGATGGGCTTATTGAGTTCGTGAAAGGTGAGCGTGTTTGTTGGCTACCTGCAGGCCCTGCACAGACGCCAGAAAGCCCAGCTGCTCCGAGGGCCTGGTGAGGGGGCCGTGGGGCAGTTGGTTCAGGTTATTTTTGTTCTTTAGGATAGTCTCAGCAGTCAGGGATGTCCCAGCGTAAAGCAGCTCGTTGGCAATCATGGCAGTGATTGTGGCCTTGCCTGGGTTGGGCATAGCTCGGCTGTAGTCCTTGG